GAACCAGAATAACTTCCCAGCTAAAAGCAGAATTCATCCTCAAAAAGAGCAGGAGGTTTGTGCATGTTTTCCCCGGTCTGTAAGGTTTCTACATCCCAAAAATGTCTGTTTTGCTGGAAAACCCTTGTTACTTGCTTTGCTCTTGAGATGGCTTTAAAAGACTGGGCTGTTTCCAGAGTTGCCTGTTGTGTACTGATAAAACTTGACAGAGGTAATTGTTGGGTGTTTTTGGAAGAGTTTCCCAGAAACACATTGAACTGGGACAATTCGTTGCAAGCCCAAAGGGAACACTGCAGAAACGCGTGGTGAGGGCAGCTGCCCCGCTAGCTACCAAGCTCGATTTCTGCAGGGAACTCGCATGGTTTGCTGCCTGGGAAAAAGGTAACAGGTTGTTCATTAAGTAATTTGTGTAATGCTTGACTGAAAAGCAATGTACATTTTCAGGCATAAAATCACATGCAGGCACAGGATCCTGTACAGAATCGGCACAATAGTGCACTTAGTCTGCAGTTGGAGAGAGCTGCAAAGAAAATTTCCTGAACCTCTCAGTCCATCAGTCATGCTTGTTCAAATAAAGCAGTAAGTTTGTTTCTCTGCTAGTTACTGACCCCAAAGTCATGAGTAAAGGATCGTGAATAATGTGTAAAGGCTGTAACTGGTTCAGAAACCTTTAATTGGCTAGTTATAAAAAGCCTTATAAGGGGCTGCAGAGAATCACCCAAAATGTTCCTAATGCAGACTGACGTTTTGATTTTCCCAAAGTTTGAAGCAAGACTTTTGGTATGATCACAGTTTGAGCTAGATAGGGTAGAGTTACTTTCTTCCAACAACTCATTCATTCCTCCAAAGAGTGCTGACACAATCGGATCTCTCATCGGGGTTTAATGCTATGTCTCATAACCCTGAAGCAGCACAAAAATCTCTATTTCCTGAACATTTCCCTGACCTGTGGTGTTAAAGACTTGCCAACTAAGACAAACCATTAAATGAGCAGGGAACCACAACAGTAAAAATATTGCACGAGGCAGCCATGGCTGGTAAGACCTCAGGGTCTACATCCAAAAGTATTTTATCATCTTGAGTGGAACTACCACTCCGTTCAGAGCCACCCATTGAATTCCCCACTGGGGAGGTTGAATTTGAGATGCACCACACACGTGGAGCTGACACTGAGCTCTCACGGGGGCCGTGTTCGTACCGGGATGTCCTGCAGTGCTCTGCATGGTGTGTGTTGCTGCTGATGCAGCTCTGCACCTTGCCTCTTCAAAATGCTTCAGCAAAAATGATGCCGTCACTGTTGCAGTTTTTGCACTATTGCACTATAGCATATGCCAAAAGCTCATTGTAGTGTGCCTGTCCACAGGGGTCACAAGGAAACAAGATACTGATTACTGTGAAGTAAAGTTCATGCATTCACAACCATGGAAGTGATGTGTGAGACAGATGGAGCCATATCATTGGAATTTAAGCATTAAGGTCAGCAAGTGAGCTGTGGAGTGCTTATCTTCAACAGGGCTGTGGTGCCTAAAGAACAGGGATTGATGCTGCTGACAGGTCCTGTTTAGCTGCTGCAAGCTTTAATATATCCAAACAGGTGCACCCATCATCGTTAGAAAGATAACCTCAAATACAATTATTTCTTGTTTAATTGGGCTTTGTCTTGCTCTTATTCTCCCCAGACTTTGGGCTCAGCCTAAACATCACTTGATTTTTATGGCTGGCTTCATTAGCTTTTAGTGCGATTTCAGTGGCTGGGTTACTGAATCAAATCAACTGTGATTGTGGTTACATGTGCTCCACAGGCCTCATGAGCATGGCAGATGACTTTCAGAATTATTTCTCTTTTATTTTTTGCATTTTGGACTGACAAATCCTTTTGATATCTACCTTCTATGCAAAATCAGTGATGTTGCATCTGCACAGACTGTTTAAATTTAACAGCATAGAAACAAAGATGAAAACACTGCCTGGAGGGAGAACAGTGTCAAGCATTCCCACTTGGCGAGCCTTGTCAGGACATCTTCGTATTGCACTGCTGAGACTATTCCTAATGCAAGTCTCTACTGGGACTTTTATGTCATATCTTCTTGTTTTGTATCTTCCTGTTTCCCTTTACCACCTCTTTTCCTCAGAGGGCTATAAAAATTGCTCCTTTAGAGTTGTTTTGGCATCTGTGGTAAGGTTCCTTAGCACCTATTACGACGGTTTCTTTTCACCTCAAAGGGGAATCCCCCCATTAAGTATTTACTGCCTTGTCATCAGATGATGCATTTGGTATCTGCAGGATTAAACCCGCAGCCTCCCGCTTCCCCAAATGCGTTTACCATTGCAGCCATAGTAAAGCATTAGCTACATTAATAGGGGCATAGATTTAACCTGCAACAGCCCAGAGCAGTGGCCAAAGCAAATGCTTGTTATTAACTATCAGAATACTTTCCATTCATTTGCACAGCGGTCCTCTGGGATGGCAGGGCTAACGGCAGCCAGACGAGAGCTTGCTGCTCCAATTACTCTGCTTGCTCTGGCCATCTCCTCCCCGCCACCCGTCACTAATCCGCATGCTAGCGTGGAGGAGACAACTGACTTGCTGGGGAGGGACTTGAAATGCTGAAAAGAGAAGAAGCCAGAAACATTTTGTGTTTCCTCCTTGCAACAAAATGCTGTGGCAAGTGCTGGAGGGAGGTGTTTGGACTTTGCGTTGCAGCGGTGATGTGTGTGTATGCATGAGAGCAAGAAACTCAGCAAGCCAAGGGAAACACAGGGGGACCCAGCAAGGTCAAAGAGAAGAAGGGGCACATTGTGGACACCCAGGGAAACCCTCCTCCTCCTTGTGAGTGTTTAGGGGCCAGAATGTAGCTGAGGTTTCCTGGATAGGGGGTGCTAGGGGAGGCATGGTCCTGCTGGGCTCGCAGGGCGTGCTGGGACCCTGGGGCTGAAGCAACGGGCAGCCACGGTGCAGAGCAGCAGCATGAGCCCTTCCCGAGGAGATGATACCCTGAGAGCTGGACACATCTGTTAGCTCAATGTCTGTGGAGGGGAGAACAAAGAGAAAGCAACAGAAGAAATGCAAAACTCATTTAAAAATACTCTTTCATTTCCCTTTTTGCCAGAAGCAGAAGTACTTAAATAACAGAGGACAAAAGCAGCTTTTGCAGCATTTCCAAGAATCAGGAAAAATAACAAGTCCTCTGAGAAGAAGTGTTTTTATGAGACTTTATGCTGTGCTACCAGGCCTGGGCATGCAGGAGGGGACCCTGCAATTCCTCCCTCTCTAATGCAGACGCCAGCTCCGTGGCTGCGGTATTTCAGAGCGTGATATTTTGTATATGCCACCACTACTCATTTTAAAATGAAACTTTCAGAAGGATAAGAGGCTCTTTTTTTAAAGGTACTAAGCTTGTTCCTTTGTCAGAGGAGATTTATTTCTTATTATCATGTGCCGAAGCTTTATTTTGCACGTGTAAGAAATAAGTATATATAGTAAGAAGGCATGTATAACAAAAGTCAAGTATCTTGCATAGCATCTGGTCTTGTTCAACATCATCAGTGACCAGGATGAGGGGATAGAATGCACCCTCTGCAAGTTTGCAGATGATACAAAGCTGGAAGAAGTGGCTGACACACCAGAAGGCTGTGCTACCATTCAGTGAAACCTGGACAAACTGTAGAGCTGGGCAGAGCTCAGTAAGGGCAAGTGTAGGGATCCTACATTGCATTCATGCAGGTTAGGGCTGTCCTGCTGGAGAGGAGCTCTTCAGAGAAGGCCCTGCATACCAGGCTGACCATGAGCCAGCAGTGTGATCTTGTGGCTGGGAAGGCAAATGGTACCAATGGGGTGCACTGCACAGAGTGTGGCCAGCAGGTGAGGGAGATCATCCTCCCCCTCTACTCTGCCCTGGTGAGGGCACACCTGGAGTACTGTGTCCAGTTCTGGACTCTCCACTTTGAGAAAGATGGGGACCTTCCAGGGAGATTCCAGTGAAGGGCTGCAAGGATGTTTAGGAACCTGGAGTGTCTCTGTTACAAGGAAAGATTGAGAGAACTGGAAGTGTTCATCCTGGAAGAGACTGAGAAGGGATCTTACCAATGCTAATAAATATCTACAGGGTGGGAGTCCATTGAATGGGACCGGTCTCCTTTCAAGCAGTGCCCAGCAGCAGAACAAGGGTAGGTGGGCACAAACTGAAACACAGGAAGTTCCATCTGAACATAAGAAAAAACTCGTTTACTGTGAGGGTGACAGAGCTCTGGAACAGCTGTCCTAAGAGATTCTGGAGCCTCCTGTGGAGATACTCAAAACCCATCTGGATAACTTCCTGTGCAATCTACCAGGGGCAACCTGCTTTAACAGGGAGGTTGGACTCAATAATCTTCAGAGGTCCCTTCCAACTTCTGAGATTCTGCGATTCGATAGCTGACTTCCCAGTTACATCAAGAATCTGTCCCTGATGGACTAATCCTAGAAAAAAACCTATGCTCAGAGCATCTGCCAGCTTCACAGTACAGCATCTTTAGAAGTCAGCCTGAAGTCACTCAGTTTTGCATGCTACAGTCTCTGCACCAGAGCTGAATTTTTGCTTAGGCTTTCCTTCACCTCCTCACCCACGCTGTCCCTATTGCACTGGTGGGGAACTTTGTGGTTTAAGCTTAAAGTTTGCTGTGCCCCTGACCCAGTGTGACCATTAAGGAGGTATCTGACCTTCTGGTGCCCTCCCTCAGTCAAGCTGGCTGAAATCAAGTCTGCTAAAAAGCAGATGTTGCACTTGTGTGGATTATTTCATTCCTCAGTTTGCTTAATTTCTACATAAACATTTAATTTTAATACGTAAGTCTTTTCCTGGTGAGAGAAGTGTTCAATGATGTATTTAAATTAAATGCTGTGCCTTTTGGCTGAAATGAAGTCCATTTTGAGAGCTTTGCCCTTAATTTGTTGCTTTCTTTTCCTAAGCTTTATGATTTAAAAAAGATACAGTTAGGTTAATACTGTAATGTTCTTCTAGATGGGCAGCAGATCTGGGAAATGGAGGCGACAGTGGATAAAGATAAGAGCCAGCCTGTAAGTATGCAAAACATTGGATGTCCTCTCCTTGTGCTTCTCAGACAGCAGCTTGTATTCAGGGGGTAGTTTCCAAAGAGCGTCTCAACAGAAAGAGCTGCTATCTGACTGCTGTGAGGCACAAATGTCAAATGCTTCAGTAGTAGATGTGCTGCAGAAAGAAACTATTCATTTAGCAGTAACCCACAGCAAATTGAATAACTGCTAGATTTTGTGTTCTTGCAGAAGACACCATTGTATCAGCCCAGTTTTGAAAGAGTCCTCTGCAGGATGCTGGCTGTCCTGACTTCCTTTTGCCTATGTGGAAGTCTTGGGTGCACTGTACTGTGCAGGACAGGATTTGCACTACAGTATTTAAAATTAACATTGGTCTTTCAAGGGAATGAGTCTCATTGTTCACTTTGCTACTGGGACTGTACTGTAGTAGGTCAGCACATTTAGGAGCTAGCACTTGCATTGCCATGGGCCATGCCTGCCCTTGTGGAAGAGAATGGGGCACTCACTGTTAATTTCCATGGAATCAAGATCTGGCTGTAAGTAAGAAACCTACAGAATAACCAAGTTTATCCTAACACAAAGAGGGAAATCTACAATACTTATTTGTTTATCAAGCACCCGTTCTGTGTCTTTTATTTGTAGCTGAGATCTCTGCCTGCAAATTGAGGATAACATCAAGTACCAGAGAGGATACAGTGCATACAAACCAATTTGCTAATACCAAAAGTCTTCCTGTTTTTCACCATCTGTTCTTTTTTCCTTTCTTCCTCACATAGTGTTCTTTATTGGGATGAACTGGGAGGTTTCCCTTCCTCGATCCCTGGGCATGTAATGGGGGAGATGCACGCAACAATCTGCTGCTGGCCTCAGTTACTAATGCTGCTCCGTCCCCTTTCGCTGTTTCAGAGCATGCTCTTTGTAGAAATACCGGAGTACCGGAACAAGCACATTCGCACACCTGTGAAGGTGAATTTCTATGTCATCAATGGCAAAAGAAAAAGAAGCCAACCCCAGCATTTTACCTATCACCCAGGTAATTCTCAAGGGCAGTGCGAGTCGTTGCCTAGTTCTCATGAGCGAGATGTTATTTTCCACTATGTTGTTTCCCCATTATACGAGGATCTAAATTTTACTAAGTTCATTCAGCTAATTGCAAATAAGTGCTCAACAACTGTTTGGTTTAAAGGATGCGTGTGATTTCAGATTGAGAATTTCCCATAAACTTAAGGGGGCAGCCACGTAGGCCATGGACTGATTCTGCCTCATTCACTTGATGGGAGTTTGCCAACAACTTCAGTGGGAGCAGACTCAGTTTGTGACATGATTTGACCCTGTGAAAACAATGAGCATTGCCTTCCCCAGTTGACGTGTACAACAGTAAGATAACATCGGATCTGGGAAAATTAAAAAGGGCTTGGTAAGGAGGAAGAAGAGTAATATATACTCTTCAGAATGGAGTTGTTGAGAAAAATATGAGTGCTTTTGTGATGTTTTAACTCTTGGGAATTGATGAGCAATCTCACAATAAACGCAACAGGATTACTAATGAGATTCCCATAATTTCTTAGCTTTGGCTGGGGGAAAAACGTTGTGAGAAAATCAGAGTATTGTGCTTGTGGAAACCAGAAAGCATAAAATAACAGTACCAGATTTTTTCAAGCTTCAAAATGACGTCTTAATTTGACTGGTTTCTAAGAAGAAGCAAACATTCATCCTGCTTTTATTTTAATCTGCTCCAACTTAACAGTTGTTGATTCTCTTCTTAGGTGTATGAATTGTGTAGGACATCACTGACACAAAGGTTTAATGCAATGCTAAATTGTCCACCTATTGAATAATATTGAAAAGTACAATTTAAACACAACCTCTGAGACAGACTGCTTCAGAGTAGAAAGCTTACAGTTCCCAAAGAAATAACACTGTTGCTTGACCATTATATGGTTTCCATTGTATGATATTTCTGTACTGAGCTTTGGGAAAGGTTTAAATTTAAAAAAAAAAAAAAAAGTCACATATATTAATTTTAAATTCTATTTTTAAATAGTATTTTTATAATTTATAAAAATAATAAAAAAATAAAAAAAAAAAAAAATGAAAAAAAAAAAGCCTTAGAAATGTCAGAATTTGTCTGTAGAAGACCAGAAGACCATCATTTACTCATACTAAGGCAACTTTTCCTAAGTGGTGGTCTTTGTACTGAGGATATTACTTGTAGCAAAAGGCCTGAAAGAGGGCCCTTCAGTAGTTCAGCACTGCCTTTGGTCACTGGCTAAATGTCTGGTAGGAAAATGAAGCGCCGTATGTGTCACAGAATGACTGTTCATTCACTCTTCCTTTCAGATGCAAATATTACGTGGGACACCTATCTGTGGTGCTTCTTACTTTGCTTATGTTCCAGAATGGCTCTTAAGTGAATTAAAATATGGTATTTTTCAATTTTCAGAAATCTGTGGTTAAATGATTGATCAAAGACTTTCTGGAACATCTTAGTTCAAAATGCATTCAAGTGAGAGCCTCCCACCATTGCATATATATGTTTTGTTAAACTTAATGCCTGTGTGATATGAGCTTGCATGTGTAGATCTCGTAAATGGTTTAAATCTCTTTTTACTTCAAGGAAAACTTCTCTGTTTCTCATCAGCTTGTTACGAATAACATCCTTTGCATGCTTTATTGTAGTACCATCAATCAAAACAGAGCCCATTGATGACTATGATCCAGCCCTAATCTGCAACACAGTACACAGTGGTCTGGGAACAGTCACACAGCCGTACTATTCACAGCACACAATGGTCACCGAGTCCCCTTCCTGTCTTGTGGCCACTATGGCTCCCTGCCAGCAGTTGCGCTCGGGCCTTTCTTCTCCTGATTCTCGATACCATCAGCAGAATCCAGCTGCAGTAGTATACCAAAGAAGCAAGAGCCTTAGCCCAAGCCAGCTGGGCTACCAGCAGTCCGGTTTGATGGCTACACCGGTTGCAATTTCAGATGCCCATAGGTCAGTGCTAGTGCATGCTGGTTCCCCAGGCCAAACTTCAGCAGTGCTCCACCACTCTCCAGGCAACCAGCAATCTTCTCCAGTGATTCACTACTCTCCAACCAACCAGCAGCTGAGGTGTGGAAGTCACCAGGAATTTCAGCACATTATGTGCTGTGAAAATTTTACGTCCAGTGTTGCAAGACCAAGCCAGCCCCAAGTCAGTCAAGCACAGAGATTAAGTCCGAGTTCATATCCTACCGTGATCCAGCAGCAGACAGCTTCAGGCCAGCGGGCAGCAAAAAATGGACAACCAGTCAGTGACCAGAAAGAAGTGTTACCAGCTGGAGTCACTATTAAGCAGGAGCAGAATTTGGACCAAGCGTACCTGGATGATGGTAAGCACCACTCTTCTCTTGTACAGTTCGATGGTTGGAGGGAGGGGTGAAGTTCATGGCTTGTAAATTCCACCTGTTCCTTGGCACAGCGATGACGAGGCCTCCTTCTGATGAGTGTGTGTATTTGCTGTTTGCTCATATAAGTATGCTTTTTGTCTTTTATCAATTGCATTTTTGGTAGATGGCAATGTGCTGTGGCTACTGTGCAGAAAGCAGCGTTCAGCAGAAACCCTCTGTCTTGCTTTGTGACATGGAGTGAGCTGTCAGGTTTCAAGCTGTTGCCATTTTGTTTCCGTTTGCCAAGCATTACTTTGGAAAATGGAGAAATTGAAACAAAATGCACTTTTAAATTATTTTTTATTATTCATATCAGGGCAAAGTCCACTCTGTAAAATGCTTTTGTACATTTTGTACCAAAAAAACCCCATTGAACAGTCTATCAAGGCCTGTAATGAATAGGGTTGCGCTGCAGGCAAAGCTATTGCAGATGTTCTAGATGAACAGTAGGACATTGATAAGTAAAACAATGCTGTTTCTTTGTGTCATGAGCTTTGCAGATTTAGCCTTTAGGAATGAATATAAGTTAGAGTAAAGCCTTCTTTGAACGTATCCTGCTTTTTCTTAGGTAGGCAGATACTGGCAAACTGGTTGGTTGGTTCTTTTATTAAAATAGTAGGACTGTTCCTTGCAGGAGGAAATCAATGCAAAGTTAATACTAGCTGCTGGCTGCTGCAATCATGAAGGCCACTAGCGAAACTTACATTGATTTTACTGGAGCAGAGTGAGATTGCTAGATGTATTGCTGCTAATATAGAGTGTTCTTAGAAAGTAAAGACTTGATTTTTGCATGTATTCGCTGCTTTTATCCTTTCAGTCTGGGTAATTGCATGCATGATTTGAGATTTCTCCTTCAGTAGCCCCCTAGAGTTGTAAAATTGTGCACATGAAAGAATTTTTTTCCCAGGTTGAGGTACTGAGTGCTCTGTGGCTGTGTCATACACAGTTTTGCTGCTTTAGCGGACGAGGTAGAACGTGTATTGTTTACTCCATTGGTCTCTGTTTGAAATAAATGTAATTGATACAGTTTTGGTGCTGTGACAGTAAAATCTGTAGAGTTTTTACCAATCTCCTTGTCTGAAAAGAAGTGTCAAGTTGGGCTGTAACAGTGAATATGATTTAGGAAATTTGCTAGACCTGCATGAAAACAGCTAAGAAAATCCACTTCCCATTCAGAGAGTGGGGCATGATAGCAAAGCAAGATAATCTTTCTGATGATAAAAATGAATGCTGTGTTGTAAGGCACTTTTAATATGACTAGCTGAGGGGCTCTTATATGAGAAATACTTGGCATAAATCTTGTAAGAGAAACAGAAAGAAGGAAAGATGAAGTTAAAGCTAGCAAACTTTAGTCGAGCCCAGGTCCACTTAAATGAACTCCCAAAACAGACTACATTAATTGCAGTGGATTTTGAATCAGGCCAGAAGCATGTAAATCAGCATGGCTCACAAGGGATGCACTTGACCTCTGTTCTAAGAGGAGCCATTGGGCAGAACAGCAGCAAGTTAGAAATGAAATACCAGGCTTTTGTCTGAGAGTTAGAGATTAATATATCAATTCATCAGCACAAATCAAGCAAGGTGATGTTGGTCACATCCAGCTCCTTACTGACTTCAGTGAGTTCACATCAGTTAGAGAAGTGTGACTTGGAAAACCGTAATTTACTTCAGGACTTTGCAAAACATTTGATTCTGAAATGTTCAGGACTTGAATTGAAAAGCCACTTTGTTTTGCTGCTGGGGAAAAGTGACTCAGAACTTAACAAAAGCCATATTTTTCCTTGCTAGAAAGTTTATTTTTGTGCTTTATAGTATTAAAAGAAACCAAACCCAAAGGATTATGGAGGCTTTGCCCTCAAAACCCTTTTATCCAAAAAACTCTTCTGAGATAAAGTGAGCCGTTAGGTCTTGGGATCTTTCACAGACACACACTGAGGTGATGGTTCCTCAGCCTGGCTTGGCACGAGCGCGCTGCCCTGTCGCTGATGTTCACATGTTAGGCAACGACTGTCCTGGTGTCTCTCGCTTCCCTTCTCTCCTATTCCCTTCCCCCATCTTCCTCCTCCCTCCTCTTTGTTCTTCTTTCTCCATATTTCTGCTGACAGTCCAGCTTTCGACTCTTCCTGCATCTCTGACCCCTTCTTCTCACCTCTTGTCTTCTGTCTTCATGCTTAACACACACCCTTAATGTTCTGGACTTTGCTTCTATTCTGAGCTCTGCCATGAACTGCTTGTGTGCCTTGGGACAGCAGTTCTCCATCAGTTCTCATTCCTGAAGCTGCCGCCTCTCAGAAGGGAGTACAGAATCCCAGTGTTTGAGCCTTCCTGGATGTGACCAGGGAAGAACATCTCGCAGATAACACAAGTACTTTGACACAATTATTTTACACATATATATGTACATTCAGACACACACACAGCTTTCTGATGAACTAGTGTAAAGAAGAATCCCCAGAGGAAGGGACTGTACGTGGAAAATAAGCAGCAAAATCTTTGCCTCGCAGATTCATTCCTCTTGTAAATACATTGGGAGTGAAGATAAGTGGTCGGGAAAACCTTCAGGGGACATCAGGAGATGCTGGCAAGACGTGATTTGTTTCAAATTCAGGTGAAGAAAGTAGGAAGATTGAGCTTCAGCCAAGGCCTCAATTTTGTAAAGCTCATCACCAAAACCAACCACTGCGGTACGAGTTGTAAAAAACTGATTATTTGCAACACCGTCCAGAACGTATTGGTGTTGACTTGCACAAGAGCAGAATGGAGAGCAGGCATGGCTGTGGCCTGGGGCACTGGCTGTGCTCCTGCTGCAGAACCAGAGGTTTCCTGCACAGCCCTGGGAAGCTGCTCAGCTGCCTGCCACAGCTCCCATCTGTCACACAGAGATACTGGGATGGTGTGAGAAGAGCAGGAGGAGGGTGAATGTATCACAGGCAAAGCATTCAGATGCCACATGATCTGAAAGTGTCTTGCAGAGGTTCAGTGTAAATGTGGTGTTAGGTCTTTCCATGTACAAATAAATGGATGTGTAGCTGTTGTTTTATCAAGCTGCCTGCCCCGGATTTAGTCCTTCTTTTAGCTTTAGCTGTCACACTGTGTGCTTTTTGCTTTACAAAGAAAAGTGGTTGTCATTATTCAGATGGTAACTATCAGACCACATCTGATGCTCAGAGCTGTCTGCTTGATATAGCATCTTTAAGTGATTTTTGGTGCACCAGTAATCTTTAATGGCGAGAAGCGAGGCAGATGCTTATGTAGTGCAGTCAGATGATGATTGGCAGAGGTGTTTCATAGTCAACTCATGCGTTCCAGAGAAAATTTCACATGCAGAAGAAAGTTCTCAGAAGACTGGTCTGCAATGTGTGCAATGGCACGCCTGTAATTCACCGGCACTTTCCCCTTTGCTGTGAGCAATGTGTTCGTCCCCACCACAGTAACCATTGCCCTCACTTGGGAGTGTGCAAGATCTCTGCGTTTTCTTTTTGTGTTCTGTCATTCAACTACCAGAAAATCCAGGGTCTGAAATCGAATGCAATTCTTTCCTTTCCTCCATGGACAGGAGGATCTTTTTCTGAGCATTTCTCTCTCTTCGCAGAAGGTGTTTGGAGGATTTATAGTTGTCTTCATCGTGCGTCTGCACTCGACAGATGCAGAGAAAAAGAGTGATCCAAGGCAGAGAGGGAAATGCCCTTGTTTCCCTGTGTTTTAGACAGGAGTGAATTTGCATGTTACAAATGAGCTGTGGTTCAGTGAGGGCAGTAATTTACATCATAAAAAGCCATGCTCTGTTTCTAATTAGAACTACTTTTCATAGAAGGTGTGGTCATTTCTGCTCAGACAGGGTTTTACCAAATGTGAAGCATGTTCATTCTCCGAAGCATTTCGCTCAAACACACCAGCAAAGCTGTGTATTCATCAGACTCGTTCCTGATGCTCTGACTGACTTTATTCCAGATTTTCTGTTCTCTGCTGGGACCTTACACCACTCACAAAGCACACTGCATGCTTCATTTTTGGATTGCTGCTGTTGTGTTTGTTCACATTAGGACTGAAGTCTTGCAGTCACATGCCAGAGTCCTGCTTTGCTGGCTGTGATATGAAAAAAGAACAAAAAGGTGGAAGGAGAAAGATTGCCATATCAAGAAGCAGGTCTCCTGTGTTGTGTCACTGTTTGAAAATTCAGCCCCTTTTCAAGGCCGCTCATCTCCCAGTAGACTTTCTGAGTGACTGTCCTGCTGCCTAAAAACACGCAAAAGAAAACAAAGTGAGAAAAAGAAAAACCCATACATCTAAAATCAGCAGCGGAGGAAGGAAGAAAATGAATCAAGTGATTAAAACCATAGTTCCACTGGCACCTCTTTGTTCTCAAGCTCAGTAATCTGTAATTGGTGCAGTAAATGCCCACAGGCAAGTTGTGTTACAAAGCGTTTCCTGTTCAAAAGAACATGCAGGCTCCATTAGGAGACCACGGGCACAGCTGCCAAGAACTGACAGTGCAGGATGGGTGTGTGGACGCTCCCTCGGTGCCTCGATGGGCAGAGTCCCACCAGCAACTGATGCACCAAGGCTCTAAGCCCTGGTCCACACGATTTGCTGCTGTTTGAAGACTTAACCAGTGGACAGTTATCAGCAGAAAGCCCCTAGTTTTCAGAAGGCATCAAGCAATTCTCAGTGATAGTTTTGAAATGCTGGCAGAGTCGCTTGAAAAAAAGAACTTGTTCATTCATTTAGGAGTTGAGAGCTTCTAAACCACAATAAAGTCCTTTCCCAGACTTGCTGTCCATTTGCTCCACGCTCGTGGCATTCCTTAGGCGGTCTGAATCACAGACAGCAGACAGCTCTTATAAAGACCATAGACACCCATCTGTTGGAAGACATCTGCCAAAATAGACTATATCCACTTTCAGTTTAAAGGGATAACAACAGTCACATTTTTCAGTCCAGTG